TCAGATGTACAACAGTGATTCAACAATTCTATACTTTTCTCAAGGCTCACCATAAGTGTTGTCACCATACATTACTACAAATTAACTACATTCCCTATGCTGTACTTTTCATCTTGGTGACTTATTTATTTTATAACTGGAAGTTTATACCTCTTAATCCCCATCACTTATTTCACTCATTCCCCCACCCTGCTTTTCCTCTTAATTACTGTACAATTGGTTACTTCATATCATTCCAATCCCATTAAATGTCATCTACAGAAAGATCCCCCAACTACCCTATCTAGAATAACCAATTAGGTATTCATCACATCTCCATGTTTTATATTCTTTATAATACTATAGTGCTAGGTAATATTTCTTTATTAACTTTAATAACTTTATTATTGTCCATTTCTTCCCACTAGAATGTAAGCTCTATGGAAACAAAGCTCTTCTCATTTATTCTGTATCCCTAATGGCAAGAACAGTCATCCAAATACTTCAAATATCTGATAAATAGTACATAAATGAATTAAATCTCAGGGATACTCTGCATTTTTTTAAAAAAAACCTCCAAGTGATTCTAACATCAGCCAGAATGGAGACCACTGAGCTAACACCTGCTTTGTTCCTACTATGCTGGGACATAGAGGGTGGTAAGAAGTGATCTTGAAAAATGCAAAACCAGGCCAAACAAAGCACTGCTCTCTTTTGCTAAGCCTTTAACCACACTGATTCTAAGACCTAGTATATGCTCTCCTCAACATTCCTAAGCTAGTCATTTCAGGAACCATCTTCTTTAATAACTATAAACATTGAGACAATTATTTTGAACTATTTACCATAAGATACCTAGGAATAAAACTAACCAAAAAGGCAAAGGATCTGTACTCAGAAAACTATAGAACACTCATGAAAGAAATTGAGGAAGACATAAAGAATGGAAAAAATGTTCCACGCTAATGAATTAGAAGAACAAATATTGTTAAAATGTCTATGCTACCTAGAGTAATCTATACATTCAACACAATCCCTATCAAAATCAACTTTTTTCACAGAGCTGGAACAAATAACCCTAAAATTTGTATGGAACCAGAAAAAAACCTGAATAGCCAAAGGAATGTAGAAAAAAACAACCAAAGCCGGTGGCATCACAATCCCTAATATCAAATTCTATTACAAAGCTGTAATCAAGACAATATGGTCCCGGCACAAAAGCAGATACATAGATCAATGGAACAGAACAGAGAACCCAGAAATGGACCCACGACTATATGGTCAACTAATCTTCAACAAAGCAGGAAAAAATATCCAATGGAAAAAAGTCTCTTCAATAAATGGTACTGGGAAAATGGATAGCCACATGCAGAAGAATGAAACTGGACCATTTTCTTACACCATACACCATACACAAAAACTCAAAATGGACGAAAGACCTAAATGTAAGACAGGAATCCATCAAATTCCTAGAGGAGAACACAGGCAGCAACTTTTGTGACCTAGTCATAGCAACTTCTTGCTAGACACATCTCCAAAGGCAAGGGAAACAAAGGCAAAAATGAACTATTTAGGGGTTTCATCAAGATAAAAAGCTTTTGCACACCAGTCAATAAAATCAAAAGACAATATACAGAATGAGAGAAGATACTTGCAAATGTCCTATTAGACAGAGAGCTAGTATCGAAACATTTATAAAGAACTTATCAAACTCAACACCCAAAGAACAAATAAGCCAATCAAGAAACAGGAAGACATGAACAGACATTTCTCCAAACAATACTTACAAATGGCCAACAGACACATGAAGATATGGTCATATCACTTGGCATCAGGGAAATACAAATCAAAACCACTATGAGATGCCACCTGACACCAATTAGAAGGGCTAAACTGAACAAGTCAGGAAATGACAGATGTTGGCGAGGATGTGGATACAAATGGAGTGATCCGAAGGGGTACTTGCACCCCAATGTTTATAGCAGCAATGTCCACAATAGCCTATGAAAAAAGCCCAGATGTCCATCGACAGATGAATAAAGATGTGGTGTGTATATATACACAATACACACACACACACACACACACACACAGTGAAACACTACTCAGTCATCAAAAAGAATGAATTCTTACCATTTGCAATGACGTGGATGGAACTGGAGGGTATTACGCTAAGCAAAATAAGTCAGTCAGAGAAAGACAATTATCATATATCTTACTCATGTGGAATTTAAGAAACGAAACAGAGGATTACAGGGCAGAGAGGAAAACATAAACAACAAAATCAGAGAAGGAGACAAACCATAAGAAACTCTTTTTTTTTAATTTTTATTTATTTATGATAGTCACACACAGAGACAGAGAGGAAGAGACACAGGCAGAGGGAGAAGCAGGCTCCATGCACCGGGAGCCCAACGTGGGATTCAATCCCGGGTCCCCAGGATCGCGTCCTGGGCCAAAGGCAGGCGCCAAACCACTGCGCCACCCAATGATCCCAAGAAACTCTTAATCATAGGAAACAAACTGAGAGTTGCTGGAGGGGAAGGTAGTGTGGGGGATGGGGTAGCTGGGTGATGGACATTAAGGATGCCACATGATATAATTATGTATGTATATGTGATGGGAATTATGTAAGACTGATGAATCACTGACCTGTACTTCTGAAACTAATAATACATTATATATCAATTGAGTTTAAATTAAAAAATAAATAAAATAAAATTTACTTTGTACAAAGTACTATATTAAATACTGAGGGATTAAACATGAAAATCTTGGGATGCCTGGGTGACTCAGCGGTTGGGCGTCTGCCTTTGTCTCGGGGCGTGATCCCAGAATCCGGGATTGAGTCCCGCATCAGGCTTCTTGCGGGGAGCCTGCTTCCCCTCTGCCTATGTCTCTTCCTCTCTCTCTCTCTGTCTCTCATGAATAAATAAATAAATCTTAAAAAAAAAAACATGAAAATCTCATGCAAGGGAAAAAAGAGATTTTCTTTCTTTCTTTTTACACTTAGGAATGAGAAAAGAGACTCAGAAAAGTTATACAAATAAGTAGCAGAGTTGAGATTTATATATAGCAGTTTTTTTCTATCATATACTTTCTTGTGCAATCAATATAGTGCATCAGTATTTTTAGTGTACATTATTTCTGTCCCAACTCATTTATTAACTAATAATGGAATCTAGGAGAAGCTCTCAAAAGCTCTATGGGTCTTAGTCTATTCACCTATAGAATCAGGAATTAAATGTAATTAATTCCTTGGTCTCTCTCAGCTCTAAAAATTATATACAAAGATGAGTTCCTAGACTTTTAAGCATTTGATTTTGCAACATCATCTGCTTCCACATTTCCATATATTTCATACTGTGATTATATCAAAACAACATAAAACAGTTTGTTTCCATGACTGCTTTTCTTGAAACCACCTGACTTTATGTGAAATATAAAAGTGAAATGAATGAAGTCACATCACCAAAGCCACAGAAGAGAAGATAACTTCCTCAAACACAGTCTGCTTATTTCCCAAAAGAGTTAATGTCATTGGTTTAACTATCTATTCAAAGAAAAAACTCACTAATTACAGTATTTCTGAGGACAGTTATGAAAGAGTTAAATTTTAGGCTCTTTAATGGTGGTACTAACCCTTGTATATTTGGGGGTGTTAAACAACAGTATCTAATATGTTTGTTATTTATGAATTTTACTAATTATAAAATTTGAAAATACAGAATGAAAGAAAGAGAAGGAAAAGCATAGTCCACATCCCCCACCTTTTTTATCAATAAAACAGCAGAGGGCAGTGGAAGGAGCCCTTGTTCTTTTATTGGTGAAAACTACTGTGAATCATTTAACTCTGCACCTCAGTTTGCTAATCTTCAAAATTAGCAGATTTGAATAAAATAATATCTCAGGCTGCTCCCGGATGTGTGAATTAACCCAAAGGGCATGAAATCTGAGCAAGAAATCATTCTTAGAATCCAGTAGCAAGTTTGAAAACTTATCCTGAAGCAAAGAAGAGCAGTTCTTAGGGTGAAAGTCACAGTCTCAAATGAATTAAGAACTAAAATTTAAGCCTATTTCTAACAAGGCTACAGTAGCAATGACAGCTTTAAGATTCTAACACAAACTAGGTAACTGATTCCTGAGCTTCTGCACTGAAGCCACACAGAGGTTTTGATGTATTTTTCTCTACTGGCAGAGCAGAGATCAAGAGGAATCTGAGCGGGAAAGAAATTAGGACACTAGGGTCGACACAGAAGCTAATCCTAAAAAATTTCAGAGATGGATTGGACAGAAGAAAATAGGAAATGTAGGACTCAGTTCATAAATATATTACCTGTGTTGCGGATTCCTTATAACGAGATCATCTTCCGTGATATGGTACCCAACTCTGTGTTCTTCACAACCATTTTTAACAATTGTACAGATGCAAGCAAAAGATAAAAGTCTTAATCTTTCCCAACTAAATAATATTAATCTTTTCCCTGCCCTCACACATTTCATTTTAATGCGAAACTCAATATTTGTTTTTCTTCCTATTTTCACTCCAGCGGGATTAGGTAGCTCATTTCCAGACTCACTTTTTTCCATGCTTGATATGTACCACTTCCCTATGTACCCAACACCATGCTCCACATGCTAATGAACATGCTACCCTCAAGGCAGAGTGGGTGCCTGATGGATGACCACATATGAGAAGATCATTTTTAATCAGTGTTTTAACACCTGCAACAAGTTTATTGACCCTAAATAGAATGACTGTTTATGGATTTTTTTTTTAATTTCCTTTTAAAATGGAGAAAGGACTTGAAGAAGTACTCATTTCTCTACCTTCTCCTCTTTGGCATATATTTCACAGAAAAAGGAACTGGGAAAGAGCAAGAAGGTCTCACGGAATATTTAAATAGTAGCTTCAAAGCTGGGGAATAGCATCAGTAAGAAGAAAGGCAGATGAAATGAAGTAACAGTGTCACTGATTTTTGTCTCTGTCCATGGAGAACAGACTGCTGGTTTAGAATCACTCTGGCCTGCCTAAGACCATCTGACATGCAGATATAACTCCAAGGTAAGAGTCCCTGGGCAAGCAGGTTTTATCCTGGTGCTATCATCTGAAATAAACCATCTAGGTTTACTCCAGATCAGCTTCCCAACCCCAGAAACTACACAGGTGGCATCTCTTTATGATTCACTGAATCATATGAATCACTTGATGATTAGAACTGAATCACTTGCTGTAAGGAAATTTGAGAAAATGAGTGCACGGCTTTCTAGTCCCTGTAGCAGGCAGTGAGGAAGACTGTAAGTGGCTGTGCTATTTGCCAGAGGACAGTGCCTGCCACAGCAATGAACTCAACAGGAAATTCAGATGCAGAGTGTAGAGACCCTGCAATCTCCAATATGTATCAAAAGTCTCCATATTTGAGCATTATAAAGGAAAAGTATCATTTGGGGGAAGGCCAGTGCTTTATTTTTTAATTAAATGCTGTTGCACTACGCAGGATAGGTCATTGCTAATGATGAACACACTGTTGAGAGAATATTAAGTGAATTTAACTCTTGGGAAAGTTTTTAGAGCTTTAGTATGAAAGGTAGAAAAGAACATACTACTTAATGTCACTTCTGTACTACATTACAATAAAGTATCTAAATTAACACAGATCAGCTTCCTGAAGTTCTCATGCCCATCCCGACAGGAGCAGTGTTTCCAAGCAGAGGTGGGGTCTACCTGAAAGCCAGCATGCCAAAGGTATCACTATAGCAAGGTCTCAAAATAACTCTAAATCTGAGAACTTCTGCCCCCATAGAAGAACATTTTGATTTTTCTGGAAATCACTGCTGGAACTCTAGAATTCAGCAGAGAGGCTATGAAGAAGAAAGGAATGTCACCTGCAGTAATAAAATAATAGGTAAAAAGTTAGAGTGCTTAATGTATGCCATGAAAGGAGCTAAGTGTTTTATATACATTATGTTATTTCATCCTCATAAAAACTGATTGGGGTTTAGAAGGTGAAAGGGGCTCAGAGTTAAGAGTCCACAGAGCTGGTAAGTGGTAGAAATAGAATGGAATCCCAGTTCTGTGGGACACCAGAGCCCAGGTTCTGCCCCACTAATTTATACTCAAGTACTTTAAAACCATGTTAAAAGATCATTGAAAATGAAGAAATCTGGGATGCCTGGGTGGTTCAGCAGTTGAGTGTCTGCTTTTGGCTCAGGGCCTGATCCCAGAGTCCAGGGATCAAGTCCCACATCAGGCTCCCTGCTTGGAGCCTGCTTCTCCCTCTGCCTGTGTCTCTGCCTCTCTCTCTCTCTCTCTCTCTCTCTCTCTCTCTGTCTCTCACGAATAAATAAAAATCCTTTTAAAAAATGAAGAAGTCTCCTGGTATATGCAATAAATCAAAGTTCCTGGGAAAATTTATATACTTTTCAGAACCACTACCCATATTGATTTTGTTCAATTCCTGTATTACTTTCAGATGCCCTTCTAGAGGTCAGGCACACAACTGTTTAAAAATAACTTCCCTAAAATTCAGGTATCCAGTGTCTTATACACATACACAAAAAGACCACACACACACACCTCACAGACATACAAACACCACATAAACACACACTACATAGATAAATGCACACAAGCCACAGAAACCATACACTATACACACAAATGCCACACATTACTGTACCACAGATACAAAGATCACACACACACACACACACACACACACACACACCCTCCATGCACACCCAATGGATTCAAACACACCACAGAGACACACACAAGACTATATATCCACATATGCAGACAACTGCACCTGAGATATACAGACAGACCACAGACACACCACAAAGACAGATACACATACACAGATACACAAAGGCCATCCATTCACAGTATAAGAAATTCTCCATGCAATTTTGTTTCTCCATTTCTACTCATACCCCAATATCTACCCAGTTTTCACCATATTTATCATCTCAGTCACATCGCACCTCCTGCTGCTGGTCTGTTTTCTCCATTCCACTGCATCCCAGATCATGAACACAAGCTCTTTTCCTTCAATTCCCCAAAGCAACCACCAATACAAGACAGTTGTGATTAATGAGAAGGGACATTACACCATGTTAAAGCATAGCAAATGGATTAAACCTGAATATTAGACAATTCCTCATTTTAAAGCCTCTGTGTCATTTCTGCTTTTCAGAATATCTCACTGACCTTTTCTCCTCTTCAAGCTTCCTAACCTCCTGCCGTGTTTTTCCTGAGGCCCCCCTCTCTGAAGAGCATCCTCACTCCTCCCTCTTCTCATGGCTCCAGGGCCTTCACAGCCTCTTTCCCAGGTTCCTACTCTTCCACTCACCGTTGCCTACCTATTCCATGTCCTTACACTTCATAGCAGACTACTAAGGTATTTTCCTGAAGAGGGCCATTTTTCTATTTTGGAGAAAAATTTTGCAACTCCCTTAGAAGGCAGAATTAACTTAAAGCAATTGTGGTTTTAATAACAATTATTTCTTCTCTATATATATTCTTAGAATGTTTTTGCTTAGTGAAAAAAATCATCAGCAATCTCCATTAAAGCAATTTATCCAATTCATCAAAAACCAATTTGTTGCTATGACTATCATATATAGTAGCTATTTTCCAAAACATTCTCAGATTCATATTTTCAATACTACAGGAATAATTATCCAAGAAATGGGATATTTTGTATAATCAAATACTCAGATTCATGGAGCATTAGCAAAACACTACACATGAATTATAATTTTCAAAGAAATAACATAAAACACTGGTAGGGTTCCCCACCTACCACAATGCTGGCACCGTGGGAAATGTTGATAAATAAGAAATTTAACCCCTGTAAACCTCACTTCCTCTTCTGTTTAAATATTCGTCTTTATGAGGAAAAAAGAAATGACTTTTTTATAAAGCTCCTAGCATATAAAAATAATTAGATAAATGTAAACTCCTTTTCTACCTCTTTTCTTTCCCCAAGTAAGGAAGAATTACCACTATATTCAACAGTACATGTTCCTCTTTGATTGATAATTTTGAAGGCACTTTACAATCTTTTTCTGGGGGTGGGAGCATAGGGAGAGGGAGAGGGAATATTAAGCAGGCTCCATGCCCAGAGCAGAGCCTGAGACAGGGCTCAATCTCACAACCTGAGCCAAAATCAAGAGTCAGACCCTTAACCAACCCTAGAGCTGCCCAGGCGCCCCAGAATGTCACACTATTATGGTGCCCTAGCCTAGGGCTCCCAAATGAGTATTGGTTCTTATCATGTGTTGACTGTTAAACTACTAGCTAACAGCATTTACTACATATAATAATTACCTCACGGGAGAAACCTAATTCTAGCTCTAAATGATTACTGATTTGCAGTAGTTGTTAATTTTGTTACTCAATTTCATTAGCAACATTTGCCCTGACCAAGTCTTAGTCAAGTAAAACTGATCCTACACTGCTTTATTCAAGAAGTTATGACCCACAAGGAGGGTCAGACTTATGGCTCATTCCTAAATAGAAGATTTTTAGCTACCTAAATTTATTGCTTCAAGTCAAAATATCCCAAACTTTATTTCTCTTTCACATTAATTTCATCTGTATTATTTCTATTTTGGATGCTCAAATTAATCTGCTCTTAATTCTTCATACAAAATAAAAATAAAAGGCTTAGGAAAATATCTGATTTGTAATATTGTGGAAATATTGTTTGTCATTTCATAATTTTTTTAAGTAGGCTCCATGCCCAACGTGGGTCTTGAGCTCAAAACCCTGAATTCAAGAGTTGCATGTTCTACCAACTGAGCAAGCCAAGTGCCCCTTTGTTTACCATTTTAAAAATAGTGTCATTTTCATTAAAGAGGGCACATGGTGTAATGAGCACTGGGTATTAGATAAGACTGATGAATCACTGAACTCTACCTCTGAAACCAGTAATACATTATATGTTAATTAATCGAATTTAAATAAAATAAAATAAATAAAAATAGTGGCATTTTGACTATTACTATGCAAAAATTACTGTTTGCGTTTCCATATTTAACCTTTTTTTTTTTTTGGCTTCTTTTTTGTGGTTATTTTCCTCGTCTCTCTCTACAGGTAATTATGGATCTGATCAACTTTACTGATTTGCTCAATGTCTCCACTTTAGGAAGAAACAGCACTCACTTTCCAGCTCCTGCCTCAAACGTGATCATCGCCTTTCTTCTGTGCATGTCCGTTATAATTGGTACCATCACCAATGGTCTCTACCTGTGGGTGCTTAAATTCAAGATGAAAAAGACTGTCAATACGCTCTTATTTTTTCATCTCATTCTCTCATATTTTATTTCTACGTTGATTCTACCATTTATAGCCAGCACCTACCTTCAGGACAATCACTGGAGCTTTGGAACTGCCATGTGCAAGGTCTTCAATGCCACTTTGTCAGTGGGGATGTTTGCCTCCATTTTCTTCCTCTCAGCCATCAGCATTGACCGTTACCTTCTCACTCTTCACCCTGTGTGGTCACAGCTGCACCGAACCCCACGCTGGGCTTCCAGCATCATCCTGGTAATCTGGCTCTCTGCCATTGCCCTCGGCATGCCCTATTTGATTTTCAGGGAGACACATGATGACCATAAAGGAAGAGTGACCTGCCAAAATAACTATGCTGTGTCTCCTAACTGGGAAAGCAAAAAGATGCAAATATTAAGGGAAAAGATTCATGTAGCCTTTTTCATTGGCCGCTTCTTGCTGGGCTTCCTTCTGCCTTTCTTTATCATCACCCTTTGTTATAAAAGAGTAGCCAACAAGATGAAAGAGAGGGGCCTGTTTAAATCCAATAAGCCCTTCAAAGTCATGGTGACTGCCATTATCTCTTTCTTTGTGTGCTGGATGCCCTACCATGTCCACCAGGGCTTACTTCTCACTAAGAACCAATCAGTACTTTTACAGCTGACTCAGATACTTACAGTGGTAACTATTTCTTTCTATGCCATCTTTTCTCCTACACTCTACCTGCTTACTGGGGAGAACTTCAAAAATATTTTCAAAAGGTCCCTTCTTGCTCTGTTTGAGTCAACATTAAGTGAGGACTTTTTGGCAGAAAGGACACAAAACCTAAATTCAGAAGCCTACATTTAAATTTTGGATCCCAGAACAAACAATGGACTCTTAGTCAATTATACCACCAGAGATGTACCTTCTACTTTTATATAATATAATCCCTCTATTATAGAGACATCCAGGCTGTACTATGGTTAGATCTACGAATATTAAAGAGGCTTTAAGAAAGCAAGCAATGGGTGATGTTGCAAAGGTCATTATTTTTACTGTTTTTATTGCGGTAAAATATAAACAACATAAAATTTGCCATTTTCACCATTTTAAAATGTACATTTCAGTTGCATTAAGTGTTTCGCAACCACCACCACTATTTCCAAAAAATTTTATTACCCCAAAGAGAAACTCTGCACCAATTAACTAGTAACTCATTTCCCCTTCCCTACAACCCCTCATAACTTCTAATCTGCTTTCTGTCTCTGTGAATTTGCTATTCTAGATATTCCATATAAGTAGATACAACATTTCTTATTTTGTGTCTAGCCTATTTTGTGTAGCATAATGTTTTCAAAGTTCATCTATATTGTAACATGTATCAGAACTTTATTCTTTATGGCTAAATAATATTCTACTGTATGTTCATTCCATTGTGTGTTTTGTTTATTCTTCTGTTAAAGGACATTTGGGTTGTTTGTACCTTTGGCCATTGTGAATAATGCTCTGTGAACACTGATAATATAAGTATGTGTTTGAGTCCTTGTTTTCAATTATTTTGAGTTATTTTAAGTTACTGGGTCTTATAGCAATTTTATGTTCAGCTTTCTGAGGAACCACCATACTTTTCCACAGAAGCTTCACTATGTTATGTTCCCACCAGCAAAATTTCCCCTTTCTCCACACCCTTACCCACACTTATTATTTTCCTTTTTTTTTTCAATTATACTCATCCCAGTTGGTGTGAAATGATGCAAATATGATTCTTAACCTTTGGTTTTTGAGGCTATAGGAATATCAATTTCTAAATACCAATAGTGTCCACTGATCTGAATTTTCTGTCACAAAATCTTCTAACAAAAAGACATCTGAACTAAGATCCTTCTTATTTACATGGCACCTAAATTATTTAATTGATATGAACAAAATTTAACATGAGGATGACAAAGCACTTATTTTTCATATCTATCTTAAAGTATAAAGAATTTATACTTCAATATTTTCAATGTAATGATATCTTAAATGTCTCTTTTCAATACCCATAGATAGAACGGTCTTAGAAATATGTGACTGATAATTATAAATGTTTAAGAATCTGCCTAGGTAATGTCATGATGTATTTAATTTTAGAATAGTCATAACAATATTAATTTATCTTCCCTGGTTTTCAAGTTTTGCTTCAAGTTTTTATAATATAAGAGCACCTAAATTATGTAAGACCATATAGTATCACTGACATATTACCTTTCACATATTTAGTTCATTAGTTCTATCAGTCAATAGATAGTTCTATCTATCTAGTTCAACTGATACAGAATGCAGACATTTAGGCCACAACACTCAATCCCTAAATATTCCAGCTGGCTTTGCACAAACCATTCCAAGCCACAGAAATCCCCAGAATGGACAATCAGAAATCCCCAGAATGGACAATATTAATTACAAGGGGTTACAGAAAGGAAGGAAAATTAACCTTCATTATTAACTTTTTTTAAAGAAAAGTAATAGTAGTTTGATGTCCTAGAAACCCTGCTAATTGACTTGGCATCACTACCTCTCTGGAATCTGGGGACTTGGTCTCTCTCTCTCTCTCTCTCTCTCTCTCTCTCTGAATAAGAGGGACAAAAACCTTTGCATATTTGACAATTTTCATTGCTGGCCTCTATTCATGCTTTTGGAGCTGGAACTGTTTTTCCTAGAACAGGAGGAGTAGGATTGATGAGCAGGCTGTGGCTCCAAGTATCCTTACAGTAAGCAAGGGCCAGTGCTTCTTCCCTCTGCACACTTGTATGTCCTGATAAGGCCACTGAAATTTATGATGCAGGACTTAAGGAAGTTATTGGATGAAACATATGACTCTTTGAAATCAAGAATAGCATTGGAAACCTAGAAGCTACGGAGACAGCCTTTTATCTTCCTCCTCAAAGTTGCTACAATAACAAACAAGGAAGTGCTCTTTTTTTTTTTTTAATATTTGGTTCCATTTCTCGGTAGATTGTAAAGTCAAGGACAGAAGCAGCCTATCAGTCATACTATTTCTATAATAGTATATACAATTGGTATCCAATAAAAGATACTTAATGAAAACTGAATAATGGGTTATCACAATATGTGATTTGAAAAGTGACCCCAGGTATAAAATAATAAGATTGAACCAGATTTTTTATTTAACAAAGATTTACATAACACTTACCTTGTGTGTAGGCATGATTCTGTGTGCTTTACCAAAAATAACTCACTTAATCCTATAGCAATTCTATGAATTAGGTCACATTATTATCCCTATTTTACAGGTTATGAAAGCGATGTACTTTTGCAAGGCCATAGAATAAGAAATTGGAAGAACCAGTATTATAAGCCTTGGCAGCCTGGTACTAGAACCCATGCTCTTAACTATTATACTCACTGCCTGAGGTCACTGCTAGGAGGCAGTAAGGCTGGGCCCAGATCTACCTAATACGTTTATTTCAACAGAAGTCACCTTTTTGGCTGCAAAAATCAAACAAATGCCTAGAAAATGTCAGCATCCACACACAAAGTAAAAGTTAAAAAGTAGCATTGAGCTTATCATCAGGAGATCTGAGTGGTGGTCTGGCTTTGCCTCTAGCTTAGTGTTTTATATGAGGCAGGTTATCCAAATTTTCTGAGCCTTAGCTTCCTCATCTATAATATGGGGACAGCTCTTAAATGAGAAGTGGATATGAAGATGCTTCTAAAATATAAAACACTAGATAAATATATTATTAAGAGGTATTTTTTTAACTTGTCACTTTAAATTTTAAGAAAATGGGGATGTAAACTTAAGAAAATTCTCCCAGAATATATTTTTTAACTTCTCATAAAACTATGGTTAACTTTGAGAAAATCGGGATCCCTGGGTGGCACAGCGGTTTGGCGTCTGCCTTTGGCCCAGGGCGCGATCCTGGAGACCCGGGATCAAATCCCACATCGGGCTCCCGGTGCATGGAGCCTGCTCTCCCTGCCTGTCTCTGCCCCCCCCCTCTCTGTGACTATCATAAATAAAATAAAATAAAAAACTTTGAGAAAATCTATTATAGTTGTATTGATCTCACCAATCTCCCATTGTGAATTCTGAGGACCTAAGAGGTTTATAAACAAAGACTTGTGGCTTTGTTTTTGGAACCAGTATTTGGAGACAGTCCTTCAGAACAATGTGCCTATTAGCATCCAATTATGTAAACCTGCTTCATTAATCAGGATCAAACTGGCTCAAGAAAAGAATTCAGAGATGACTAGAGACATGTTTCAAATGCCAGCTCAAGTTCTTTCCTCAAGAAATGGCTCTTTGTTTTAATGAGATGAATGCCCAGCTGCTAACATATGGGGGTGCTGGAGTGTAAGGTAGCATGGTGTGCACAACAGACACCAAATCCATAGCCCTGTGAAACATACTAATATAGTTTATGTACCTGCAATATGAGAATCTGAGCTCTGAGACTACAACAGCGGAAAGACACAATCCCTATCTTCAAGGAGCTTAAAGTCTTGTGTGCTGGTGCTGAATTTGGCTCCATGTTATCATTATCTGGAACAATTTTTAAAATACCAGTATTGAGGCCTTACTCAAATCAATTAAAACCGAAATCTCTAGCGATAGGATCCAGATATCTGGGGTTTGTTTGTTTGTTTGTTTGTTTTAAGTTCTTAGGCTGACTCTAAGGACAACCAGAACAGAAACCTCTGTTTAGGAGGAAAGAAAAAGAAGTTAAAAGGTCATTATGGTACAAAGGATTAAGTGCCATGTTTGAGGAAATCACCAGTTTTTTCTTTTTTTTTTTTTAATAACTTTTTTTTTAAGATTTATTTATTTACTCATGATAGTCACACAGAGAGGAGAGAGAGGCAGAGACACAGGCAGAGGGAGAAGCAGGCTCCATGCCGGGAGCCCAACATGGGACTCGATCCCGTGACTCCGGGATCGCGCCCTGGGCCAAAGGCAGGTGCTAAACCGCTGAGCCACCCAGGGATCCCAACCAGTTTTCACTAGTCAGAGTTTTCCCAGATGAATCTTGGAGAACGGTTAAATATATAAAGAAGGGTAAGGGTAATACAAAGGAGGAAGCAGAATGTGTAAAAGCCCCAGAAGGAAAGAAAGCATGATGCCATAAAGCAGCACCTTCCAAATGTAAATATGCATACAAATCACCTACTGATCTTATTAAAACGCTGATAGTATTTCATCCAAAATGCAGTAAGGCTAAGCTTATGTTTTGTTTTATTTTTTAAGATTTAGGGGATCCCTGAGTGGCTCAGTGGTTTGGTGCCTGCTTTTGGCCCGGGACATGATCCTGGAGACCCAGGATCAAGTCCTACGTCTGGCTCCCTGCATGGAGCCTGCTTCTCTCTCTGCCTGTGTCTCTGACCCCCTCTCTTTCTCTCTATGTCTATCATGAATAAATAAATAAAAATCTTAAAAAATGTATTTTTGGGGCATCTGGGTGGCTCAGTCGGTTAAGCATCTGCCTTTGGCTGGGGTCGTGGATTTCAGGTCCTCGGATCCAGCCCCACATCAGGCTTCCTGCTCAGTGGGGTGTTTGCTTCTTCCTCTTCCTCTGACCCTCTCCCTGCTTGTGCACTTTCCTCTCTCAAATAAGTAAATAAAATATTTTACAAATTAAAAAAGTATTTATTTACTTGAAAGAGAGCAAGCACACACATGTGTGGGAGGGGCAGAGGGAAAGGGAGACAAGCAGACTCTGATCTGAGGGGAGGAGCCAGACTCAGGCCTCAATCTCACAACCCTGAGATCATGACCCCAGCTGAAATTGAGTCAGACACTTAACCAACTGAGCCACCTAGGTGCCCCAAGATTCTGCATTTCTAATTAGATCCCAGGGGATCCATTATTGCTGGTTCAGAGCAAGAAAAAAGTATGACTGGAGTATAAATGTGAGAAGCAGGCATGACCAAGGTGAGCAGGAAAAGTCAACTAGACCTCCATCTTGAAAGCCCCTGCCAAGGAGTGGGGACTCCATCCTAGACTTTATTCTGAGGGCATTAGGGAGTCACTACAAGATCTACAGCCAAAGAGTGATAGAATTCAATTTTCATTTTAAGAACATCACTCTGGCTGCTCTGATGAAGAGATCAAAACTGGAGGTGAGTGGTCAAACTGGACAGTATTGGAGTAATCCAGGTAACAGATGATGTGGCCTGAACTAAAACAGTAGGAGTGGAGATGGAGAGTCTTCTCCTGTATATTCTGCTGAGATGTCAAAACAGAGGGGAAAGTTGAAGATGACTCCTGTGTCAATCATTTGCAAACAGTAGATTTCATTCTGCTGGTTTGATCAAAAGCCGATTTATTAAATGATATTAAGTAGTTCACAGAATTATCGGGGTGGCTGGAGAAATATTCAAGACTAAGTTTCGAGTAACAGTACCCAAAACTTTGCCACAGAACCACCCAGATCAGGAACCTTGTCATTGGTGTTCTCTATTTCAGTTAATAGCACCAGCTTCTGCTACTGCTTCTACTGAGCCTCAAATACCAGCAACTTGGTTTTACTGCTGCTAACACCAATGCCATTTCTGCATCAAGTCTTGAACTGTCCTGTGCCTGAGAGCTCTGCCAACACCGCCATGATGAACACAGAAGCCCCATGCAGAGCCATTTATTCACATTGTTCACCTCCAAATTTAATCTTGCATGAAGGTATCTAATTGGCAGGCCTGCATCCTAGCCCCAAAGCAGACTGGGGAGCTGAGTTCTGATTTCCACTGAGAGGGAAAAAGATGCTCATAATATGGGAATTTCCCCAAAGATAAAAGCTATTCAAAAGATGATGATGTCCATTGTACTTAACCTAAAAAGCTTTTCAAAATGGTTAGCTTCAGGAAGAGAAACAAAATTGAATCGTGCTGAGTAGTGTCTGGGCGGTGAGAATCCAGAGGCTCTGAGAGTAGCAACTCTTTCATACCTGGAGAATTAAGGAGTAATTCCACTTCCTTCTTCCCACAAAAAGTAACTCTCACACATTCTATTAATTAGAGATTAATTTGCGTTAAGGGACTGTCATTAAAATGCAAATATACCTTTTAAGAATGTTACATTTCATTCACAAGTTAATGGGAGTTACTTTAATCAGCTTCATGCCCAGCAAAGTGCACCCAAACACAGTAACTTAAAATATTAGACTTTGGGTTGTGGCCTAAAGGAAGGAAAACCTTTTGACTTGGAGGTCAAGCCTGGAGTGTACTTTGGAACCCTGCAGGTTGCTTGATTCCTATATAGGGAAGTGCTATAAAAGGAGAAGAGAAAGTTGACTAGTTGTAAGAGACCCAGAAAATCTAGTTTATGTCAGATTGTTTCGGTTGAAGACCTTATCTTCCCTCCAGTTAAGGCCAGCCATCTCAGTTTAGTTGAACTCAGGGCTTCCAGGAGGTGATTTCCTTTCCAAGTCCTGTCCTTCCCCTATGAGGAGGGAAAGAATACACTGGTGGAAAGAGAAACAGTTTTTCTAATGCTCCCCCATTGTTTTCCTTGTCTCTTCACTAAAACCTGAGACCCCTGAGAGTAAAACCTGCATCTTATTTCTCATGTATTTCTAGCACTTAATTTGGTATCTAACACAATAGATAAACATTTATTTTTTTAAAAGATTTTATTTATTTATTCATAGACACAGAGAGAGAGGGGCAGAGACACAGACAGACGGAGCAGCAGGCTCCATGCAGGGAGCCCGATGTGGAACTCGATCCCGGGTCTCCAGGATCACACCCCAGGCTGCAAGCGGCGCTAAACCGCTAAGCCACCAGGGTTGCCCTAGATAAACATTTATAATAAACAATTGGATAAATACAAGCATGCACTTTAATACCATTTGTGAGGTTTAGAATGTTCTTCCTTAAGCAAACCAAGAATCTATAGTATTTCTTTCACTTCCCTTGTCAAAAGGAACAGACAACCAGGGAAAAGGGAAATGCCTTTTCTCTTCTCCATCTCAAGCAAGTGCAATAGAAGATTTAGGTGTATATGAACAATTCATTACTGAAATCTCTATTATTTATTCACTTCCTGCTGGAGTCCATATGAACTTTACTTAGTTACAACACTCAGAAACAGTAAAAACGGTTCATTATTTTTTCTATATCAAATCAAACCTGATCTGAGTCTCTTCCCTTATGGTACAAAGGATTCCATGAGAGCTCTTCAGGATTTAAGTCTTTAATGGCCCCCTGTAATATGCCTCTTATCCAATTCTGCAAGACTCCTTGGAAGCAGCAGCTCCATCTCCTCCAGGCAGAAAGTTGGGCTGTGTAAAGCGCATTTTCACAAAGGCAAGGATCCCAGCAACCTTTCTTCTCTGATGTCTTAGTCATAGTTCCAATAACTAGAAAAAAAAAGGGAGGAGGAAGGTATGCAAGGACCTTGGCTCATCTTACACTGATAACTCACAAAGTCTAACTTCACCTCTCTAAACTCATAGAGAAATTAGGGAGTTTCATCAGAAACGTTACCTGTAGCTATCTCTGTCTCCCCAGCTGTCCTCTTCCAACAAAAAGATGACCAAAGAGTCCCCATTGTAGCTTTTAAAAACCTCTTCAGACAGTGTGCTTAGTGTCTTTTGCTTGCCTTCCAGATCCACATTCAAGTATTCTCCACCCTGCCTTCTGCCTGGAGCCTGGGTCAGCAACAGGTCCTCTGCTTCCCTATTTCTGGTAGAGTTTTTCCAGTAGGGAGTTCTGGGCGGAAATGCAAGAAAGATGGATAACAGGGTCAGGTATTTATTCCCCTAACTCCCTCACAAAAGGGTCTACTGGAGTTGGCTGAGCTTCTTAGCAGAACTCCTCTTAAGTTTCTACCTCTCAATTCCAGACTCCTTTCCCTTCTCCCTTCAGGCCAAGGGGCAAGCAACAAACATATCAGCTGCTACTATGCCCTGGGTTACTATACCACCCCTATAGATCCCCTATACCCACACCTTTGTAAACAGTCCCTTTGTAAATAACACTTTCCCAGGTTATCCTATTTAGAACATATTTGATTCCTGATGGGACCTTGACTGATACAGTTAGTGTGATAAAATAATTTATATTCTTTGATGATACATAATATTCAGTATATTCTTTTAAAAATAATATATTGGTGTAAGGCATTGGCTCACAGATGTCAAAGAACTATATAAAAGATAATTCCCACAACATATCTTGGTAGGGGAATACAAAAGGATGAGTTTTAAAAGAATAAAGTTGCAAATCTCATACAAATATAAAATCAACATGTGTCAAAGATTTTTATTTCATTAATATTTAACTCAGTAAGGAAGAAGTCAGTCATATATTACAACCAGTTCAAAAGAGAGCTCAAACCTCCTGTATGAAGAATTCCAAATAATTTATATTGATATTCCTCACTCAGAAAGGTGGATAGTAACACCCCTTGAGTATGGGCTCTGTTAAAGTATGTACTTCCAAAGAGTATTTTGTGGAAAGAGGAGGAAGGTGTAACTTTATTCTGGAGAAACCTAGCAAACACCACCTTAGCCAGGTGATCAAGGTGATTATCATCAGTAAAAAAAGACATGTTGTCGGGATGCCTGGGTGGCTTAGCAGTTGAGCATCTGCCTTTGGCTCAAGGAGTGATCCTGGAGTGCCAGGATTGAGTCCCACATCAGGCTTCCTGCATAGAGCCTGCTTCTCTCTCTGCCTATGTTTCTGCCTCTCTCTCTCTCTCTCTCTGTCTCTCGTGAATAAATAAATAAAATCTTTAAAAAAAAAAAGACATGTCACCATGTACCTTTGATATGATGTAATAAGAACAGCACTTCACTCTGTGATCCTCCTTCAAAAACCTATAATCTGGGATCCCTGGGTGGCGCAGCGGTTAAGCGCCTGCCTTTGGCCCAGGGCGCGATCCTGGAGACCCGGGATCGAATCCCACGTCAGGCTCCCGGTGCATGGAGCCTGCTTCTCCCTCTGCCTGTGTCTCTGCCTCTCTCTCTCTCTATCTGTGTGATTGTCATAAATAAATAAAAATAATTAAAAAAAAACTATAATCTGGTCTAATCATGAGAAAAATATCAAATTCCAATAGAAGGACATCTTACAACATAGCTGACCAATATTCCCTAAAACTGCCAAGGTCATCAAAAACAAGAAGAATCTGAGAAACAGCCACAGCCTGAGGAAACAAGATAACTAAATGCAATGTGATATTCTGGATAGAATCCAGAAGAAGGATTTAGTGGAAAATAAACAAAATGTTAATAAAGGATGGAGTTTAATTAATGTACCAGTGCTGGTTCCTTAGTTGTGACAAACATAGTAATTTGAGATGTGAATAAAAGATGGAATTGGGTGAGGTATATATAACTCTGTACTATTTTTGTATCTTTGTTACAAATCTAAATCTACTATAAAATTAAACTTTATTTTCAAAAGAGAGAAAACTCAAGGTGCTATACATATGTAGTCAGGAAGGGAATGTTGAAATGTATTTATAAAGGGATGCAAAATGGGCAAAATCAGCATCTACAGAGTAATAATCAAATTTTATATTTTTATGGATAAGACTGATTTGCTTACTATTTGTGTTCAACAAGTTAACTTCTATCTCTAAAGAGTTGTAAGACAGCCTAGTCATATACAAATCCTATATAGCCCTATAGGATCAAAGGAATCCCCAGACGCTCCAGCATTCCCTTAAAAGGTTATCTAGAAATCTCTTCTGTCCATTCAAAATGTTTCACAATTTTTTTCCTACAAAGGATACAGGTGTCTAAATTATAAAAAGCCCTTACAGGGGTACCTGGGTCACACAGTCAGTTAGTGAAGCATCCAACTCTTGGTTTTGGCTCAGGTCATGATCTCAGGGTCCTGAGACTGAGTCCTGCATTGGGCTCCCCGCTCAATATGGAGTTTGCTTGAGTTTCTCTCTGCCTCTCCTTCTCCACCTCCCTCCTCTCTAAAATAAATGAATAAATCTTAAAAAAAAAAAAAAGCCCTTACAACAGCAGCTTAGCCTGACTTGACAAAATGGGTAACACAAGTATACAAATATTCAAAAGGTTGTGCAAGGCTTTGCTAAGTTACCACAACACTAAGAACTCAAAAATAACCCAAAGATGAAGATAATTTATCAACCTACCAGGGGGAAACACTACAGACCGCCAGATGTACATCACTGCCTTCAGGTTAAAAGCACTTGCAATATCAAGTTACCTAGGCAACATACCAATAAACAGTGCAGTAAGAAAATAAGAATTTAAAAAGGCAAACTGAAAAAAAGAATAATCAAGTTCCAAATGCCATCCCCTACCTGGTTATATAAACTATTCATGTTAAAGACAGACTCAGCTCTTAGGTGGGGAACTGTCATTTTCCCAGGCCTTGTATTTCCATATAGAAGAGTTTGGGCTGGATTAACATTCCTGGCCTCCGTTTCTACATGTGTAGGAAGAGGCTATGACAAAATATATTGTTGCAGTATGGAGCATTTGCCATTGGAGTTTTTGTTTCAGGTTCTCATTTAAATATGTTTGTTTCCTCTTTCCTCACTGATTTAATACATGTGGCAAGTGTCTTAAAGCCAGAAACCACATGGGTCTTTCCAACCTCAGTTTCCTGTGCGAAGAGTGATTCTCTCTCATAGTAAATTAGTAAAGAGACTTGAACATGACCTAGTATACATGCTTGAATGCAAGGGGAAAGGTGTCAATCATGCCCTATGTGAGAATTTCCACTCTATGTCACAGCAGTATTTCTAATTACAAATGAATAAATTAGTATTCTGGTTCTACCCCAATTCGTGTCCATTTTAGTTAGTGTGAACTAATTTCTCAGAACCTGATCCCCTCACTAACCACTGAAAAATATAAATCTCTGAGCTTTCAAGTGGGGGTGGGGGGGCTAGATTTCTTCCAGCCTCTGTAAGATTAAATAGTACTCAAAGGCAAGAATTGTGGTTTGTTTCCAATTTCCCCCACTGGGGCTTACTGATAAAATTCTATTTTCTTTACTTCTAGTGCTTTATGTTTATTCACATTTTACCATTTTATTGCATGTATGTCTGTCTTGCCTTCCTAAATTCTTTGTGAAAGCAGAATTGACGGTCAAAAAAAAAACACAAACAGAAAGGACTACTTTAGTGCCTACTCTCTACTGCCCTCTACAGGTGGAAGGAAAGAATAAGTGAATCACAACATACGGTAGTAGTGTCCAAAAACATTTTCACCTAACAGAAGAGTTTAAAGCAACTGGTGCTTTTTGAGAGATTAACCATTACCAACCAGACTCCCCCTATTCACAAGAATTATTTCCCAATTTGCTAAACTCCCTTCACTGTGGAAAGATCTCTGGGAACTACATATATCCCATTTTCAAGAGAACTTGCTGTCTCCTGTACTCATATACAAATGGACATCATAGTCCTCTCTTACCCTGGGTCAAGGCTAAAGGCCTTTATGTCAAAGTTCCTTACAGCCCTGTAAAGCTTGAGTCTTGGAGTGAAGAGAAAACAGATTCAACAGTTATAATGACATAAAGGCATGAACGATACAACTTGTCTGTGCTTTGCAGCCATCAGAGATAACATGAGATTTTGCTTTTGGTTTTTACAAAAAAAAAAAAAAAAAAAATGTAAGGCAGCCTCAGATAACCAGCAAACAGGCAGCTTCAATGTTGTGCAGAAAGGACCGCTGATTATGCATGGATTATTTCCTTCAGTCACACTACTTTATATGGATAGCGACACTGTCAATGATGTCATCTTTCAAAACAACAGACCTGAATGTTTGGGCATATTGTGCCAACTGAGCCCCAATCAATGACCTGAGTAATGCAATCACGGTAACACCATTATTCCTCATCTAAACCCTCCACGCCCATAGAAGAATAATGCTAATCTGATGCATGCTCAAGAAATGGGTTGTGTGGGAAAGAAGAATATGTATGTACTTACTCCACAAAATTTAGATCATTACGTGCATCAGAGTATGTCGTTTTATTTTTGTATTAGCAGCAGGTCAAAAAAAATTTTTTTAACAATGACACACTTCCCTGGCTGAGTGCGGATCCTTTTAATGAGGATATTTTCTAAAGACTGAATTCCACACGTGTGTCCACACAGCATACCAACGTCTTTCCGGAACTACAGCATCAGAGTGATTCACAGCATTCCTGATAGAGGAGGCATCGTTGTTTTACTGACTGGAGTAAGCAAAATTTTGAAAGATGTATAGCTTTTAATTGCACTTCCTGCTTGTTTTGCGATTCAATTGATTCTATTTACCGACCTTCAAAATGGGCATAATAAGGACCCAAGCAGATTTAAAATTTCTTAACGTCTGGAAACTTAGGCTTTCTGAGCTGAAATATTTTTCTTCTCTAAACGGTGCGCAGGGAAGAGAGCCAATGAGTTTTTCCACTCGTTTAAAGGACACACCGAGCGCTTTCTACGAAGTTGGCCAGCTTCGGCCTGGGAACGAGTACCTTGTCTTTGAAGACCATACATCCGGGTCACGCTGGAACCAGGCAGAGGCCCCGCCCCTCTACGGGTGCCGTCACGGGCCCTTACGAACTTCCCGCCGCCACGACCCGTCACGTCCTCCCTGCGCGCTGGAGGCGGAGCCTGCGCAGCGCGATCCTCGAACGCGTCGGGTTGCCACGCGGGTTCGAGTCATGGCCGACAGCTGCCGGATACCCCAGGCGCGGGCGCTTCTGCAGCAGTGCCTGCACGCCAGGCTGCAAGTACGCCCAGCCGAGGGCGACGCCGAGAGCCAGTGGGTGGAGGTAACGTCAGCCCCGCCACTCCCGGCACCGCGCGAAGGGGCGGCCCTTCCCGCGTCGTCTTGGTGACCGGCCTCCCGCCCCTCGCGTCTCCCCGCGGCGCGGTGCGTGGCGCCCGGCCCGAGCTGTCGGCGGTGCGGACTTGGCCTCCCGGGCTTGGCCTGCCCCGCCACGGCATTGCCTTCTCTGGCACCTTCTCCCTCTTACCTCCCTCCGTTGGGCCAGCGGAGGAGCGTGTCCTCTGGTTAGGACCGCGGGAACTGGAACTTTCTCTCACCTTCTGCCTACCGGAGCTCCGTGGACTCGAGGCCTGTCTCAGCTCTTTTGCTTCAAAAGAGTGAGGGCCCTGCCACGCCCTCCGCTCTGCGGGGGCTGCTGCTGGTTAGTGCTGGTCTGGTTTGAGCTTGTAGGTTAGAGTCGTGGGCAAACGTTCAAGACCTGTTTTGACTTGTGCTCCAGGACCCACCGGATTCCCTCTTATGTTGCCCACAGAAAATGAGATTTCCCATGGAACTTTTAGCCTTCTTTTTTTCAAGAAACCTAAAAATTATATCTCTTGCTAGAAACAAAGACTACTACTATTAGTATAATGTGGTGTTGAACAGCGTTTGCTCCAGAGAACTTGAAACATTGACACTAATAGGATTTCCTTCTACTTTAATATTTGCCTTTTAAAGAACAGCCTGCGGGATCCCTGGGTGGTGCAGCGGTTTGGCGCCTGCCTTTGGCCCAGGGCGCGATCCTGGAGACCCGGGATCGAATCCCACGTCGGGCTCCCGGTGCATGGAGCCTGCTTCTCCCTCTGCCTGTGTCTCTCTCTCTCTCTCTCTCTCTCTCTCTCTCTCTCTCTCTCTCTCTCTATCATAAATAAATACATACATACATATAGCCTGCCCCACGTTTATGCAAAAGCAAGTAATGTTCATCGCTCCTGACCTATTTTTGGAGTAAGTTAAGAGGAAGAAAAAGATTAGTTGATAGTTAAGGCTTTTGGAGGTACTTGAAAATTTAGGAGCATCTTTTTCACTCGTCAGCTGTATTCGGTCCCAGATCTAGCTTTCTTTAACACAATCATAGTCATTATGTTAAATATTACCTATAGGGGCGCCTGGGTGGCTCAGCGGTTTGGCTTCTGTCTTCGGCTCAGGTCGTGAACGTAGGATCCGGGATCGAATCCCGCATCAGAGGGGGACTGCGGGGAGCCTGCTTCTCCCTCTGCCTATGTCTCTGCGCCCCCTCCTCATGAATAAATAAATAAAATCGTTTAAATAAATGTTACCTATAAACTATGATATGTGGGTGGTTATTCTTAAATCAGAATCTGTTACCCTCTGCTAATTTAGAAGTATTTATAAACATTTCTGAGCTGAAATATTTTTCTTCTCTAAATGGTATGCAGGGAAGAGAGCCAATGAGTTTTTCCACTTAATATATTAAGTGGAAATATTCTTGTATTTCCCCCTACCCATTTCTTCTCAAAAATTCATGTTTCTTGTTTTTGTTATGCACCCCCCCGCCCCCGCTTTTGAGCTCTTGATTTCTCTTCCGTATTGTGGAATTTTGTTCATGTTTGTCATCCTATCCAAAGAATTGTCTATTTTTATAGTTAACTGGTGAGACTATAAATTCCAGACTTAATCATTTAGATTTCTTCCATCGTTTTTATCTTTTTATGTTCTTCATGCCGCATCTCCTTATGCAAAATCAGATATTTTACGCAGTTTTCCAAACTATAAGTTTGTGTTGATAAACTTTAAAAGCTATTCTAAAGCTTTCCCTTCCACTCCCACACATAACTAAATTAGTATAAAGAGCTGACAGGTAATTAGGTAGTGACAAAGTAAATTTTTTCCTCTTTCTCAAGTATCCTCTTTCCTATTCTATTAGAAGTTATAATTTAAAATATATATATACACATATATATATTGTTTTAATTGTCAGAAGATTTGAAGGTTACTTTGTGTTCTCAGTTTTATTCATTTAGACCTTTGCTGTCAAAGGCTAATGTTTTTCTTCCCAAGAAGTGAACTTTCTTAAATTATAGTGAGAGGAGCGCCCGGGTGGCTCAGTTGGTTAATAACTTACTCTTGGTCTCCGCTCAGGTCGTGATCTGATGAATGGTGGGATCCAGCCCTGCATCAGGCTCTGTGCCCCACCGGGAATCTGCTAGAGTCTCTCCCTATGCCCCTCCTCCTTCTCATGCCTGTGCTTTCTCTCTGTCTCTACTCTCTAAAATAAATAAATAAATCTTAAAAATTAAAAAACCTGTAGTGAGGATTATATGTAATTTCCTATATATTTAAAATGTTTTCTACTAAAAGAAGCTACAAGGAAGGTGGTTCTGACTTGAAGAGGGAAATTTGTAAATCACAGCTTAAGATCTATTTCTGGAATAAACTAAAAGAAAAGACCTTACTGAGGAAGTAATGTGATGGGTGGAAAGAACAGGTGTCTTTTTCTGCATATGACTGGATGCTGAATTCTGACATTGTGTCCAAATATGAATATGCCTGATATTTTCACTGAATATGCTTGAGATTTTGGCTGGTACTAAATCCCAGTGGCATGGCCTGTGACAGTGGTGCAGATACCTGTAACATTCATCCTATTAGCTCCTTACTATGGGTGTGCTTGGGAGACCTTTGGTTATTCCAGAAGCACATTTGCACTTCTTAAAAATTACTTGTTTACTGGTAAATCGAGTGTGAGTGCAAAACTGCATTTATGTCTATATAGAAGACTGTTAGCTAACACATAGAGCCTGTAAGATACAGTTGAACTTAAATGCAAATAACAGATAGAGTCCTTACGTCTGTAAAGTGCTTTGGAAATTAAACTGTAAAATGGGCTTCAGCCCTTAAATTTATTTTTACATACTCACTTAAACACTTACATAGCTCTTACTATGAAGTAAGCACTGTTTTAATCACTTTACAAATATTAATTCGTTTAATCTTTATAATAGCTCTTGGACTCAAGAAGGTTAATCTACAAAATAAAAAAAAATTTAATGATTCACTTACCAGCAAAAGCAGAGTCATTTATCATTTCTGTTTTTCCTTATATATCCTACAAGAACTAATAAATACCCACATCATTGTATTTAAAAGCTTACATTCCTGAGGCACATGGGTAGCTCAGCCAGTTGGGCATCCAGCTCTTGATTTCAGCTCAGGTTATAGCCTCAGGGTTGTGAGATCAGAGCCCCTCTTAGGCAGTCTGTGCAATGGGTATGGAGACTGTTTGGGTTTCTCTCTCTTCCTCTGCCCCTCCCCCCCTTTCTCTAAAAAAGAAAAAAAAAACACTTCTAATAACAGACAACCTCATGATGTAGAACTTAGTGTCATAAATTCAGTTTCCAGGCTAAATCACTATGTTGATTTAAAGCACTGACAGGGACGCCTGGGTGGCTCAGCGATTGAGCACCTGCCTTCAGCCCAGGGCATGATCCTGGAGTCCTGGAATCGAGTCCCACATTGGGCTCCCTGCAAGGAGCCTACTCCTCTCTCTGCCTATGTCTTTGCCTCTCTCTCTGTGTCTCTCATGAATACATAAATAAAATCTTTAAAAAATAAAAATATAAAGCACTGACAATAATGAAAATAATTGCACGGTTTCTTGGAATTTATAGAAGTAGAGTCAGAGGGGATCCCTGGGTGGCGCAGTGGTTTAGCGCCTGCCTTTGGCCCAGGGCACGATCCTGGAGACCCGGGATCGAATCCCACGTCGGGCTCCCGGTGCATGGAGCCTGCTTCTCCCTCTGCCTGTGTCTCTGCCTCTCTCTCTCTCTCTCACTGTGTGCCTATCATAAATAAATTAAAAAAAAATTAAAGAAGTAGAGTCAGACCCTTAGTTTTATTAGCTGCAAATAAATGGATTAGGAGGAATAAAGAGTAATGATGTCAAAAGACATCAGTCATGCAATTGCTTATACATTGGCCATATCTAATATAATGTAAATTCATTTGGTGTTGAATAAATGGGGCTCTGAAAACTAAACATTTCTAAGTGTTGGCCTTACTTAAGGGAGAGGAGGCCAGTTCATAGTCATAATGACTGGAAGTGGTTAGATTGTAAATTGATTAGAAGTAAATGTTTGAGGGTACGACTTGTGGTTTTCACCCCTCTTGGTTATATCTTGAACTTAATTTTTGCAAGAAATGATAATTAAGGTGACCAAATGTTGGAAAAGATTTTGTTTTCTCACATATTTTAAAAATCTGTCATAAAAATGTGTTTCCTTGGATTTAATCTCTATATAACAGTTTTGAAATTTTATTCATTTACCTCTATATCTCTATGTAGAAGTTTTTTTTCTAATCTGAGTTTTCTCGTGATTTCTCATAGGTTCAGAGAGGATTAGTAATCTATGTGTGTTTTTTCAAGGGAGCTAATAAAGAACTTCTTCCCAAAATGGGTATGTATTTGATGTTTGTTTGTTAAAAGTAGAAGTGAGGGCACCTAGGTGGCTTAGTCGGTTAAGCCTCTGCCTTCTGCTCAGGTCATGATCCCAGGGTCCTGAGATCAAGCCCCACATTGGGTCCCCTGCTCAGTGAGGAACCTGCTTTTCTCTCTCCCTCTGCTGCTTCCCGTGCTTGTGCTCTCTTGCTCATTATCTCTGTCAAATAAGTTTAAAAATCTTTTTTTAAAAAATAAATAAAAGAGGGCAGCCCAGTGGTTCAGCAGTTTAGCGCTGCCTTCGGCCTAGGGTGTGATCTTGGAGACCCAGGATCAAGTCCCACATTGGGCTCCCTACATGGAGCCTGCTTCTCCCTCTGCCTGTGTCTCTGCCTCTCTCTCTCTCTCTATCTCTCTATCTATCTCTTTGTCTCTCTGTCTCTCATGAATAAATAAAAATAAAATAGGAATGAAGGAAGGAAAGGAAAGGAAAACATATATGAACCAGAAGGAGTAAAAAGCACAATCTTAAGTTGTACTGGTAAGTTTTAAAATGAGTGAACTCTACAGTTGCTGGCTTTAACTATTTTTGCCTTTTCCAAAGTTTAAAGTAAGCAGGTATGGTGGAAGTCTTTCAAAACATCTGCACCATTTCAAATGGCTTATAGATTGCTTTAGAAGAGTGTACACACACACATACACACATAGAAAAAACACACTTGAGATTCAGCGAAGGATACAGAAACTTGTTAGAAGCAGAGTGGCCACATAGGAAGAGGTAGATGCTTCATAATATAGTTTCCTTATCTCCCACAGTTCCTGACAGGGGCATGTAGGTGACACTATATGTAGAAGATGTGGGTCCCACAATCTGGACAGCTAAGTCTTTCACCATCGTTATGGAAAATTTTTAATTAACTATTTATCCACTTTTTAAAATAAGAAATGTATATAAACATAAGGTTCTCATCTTGAAGAAAGCTCATTGTTATCAGAAGCACACCTCCTCCATGGACAGAAAAGCAAGGAATGTTCAGTTATCTCTGAACTATAATTTACTTGCCTGCAGTTTTCCAAATTCCTGGATAGTCCATAGCACTGCACATTCTTTGTGATAATTACATAGATTCAGATGCACCACATCAAATACTGTCTTAAGATAGGGACACCTGGGTGGCTCAGTGCTTGAGCATCTGCCTTTGGCTCAGTTGCGATCCCAGGATCTTGGGATCAAGTCCCACATCGGGCTCCCCATGGGGAGCTTGCTTTTCCCTCTGCCTAGGTCTCTGCCTCTCTGTGTCTCAAGAATGAATAAATAAATAATCTTTAAAAAATACTATTTTAAGATAAAATAACTTCATACAAAAAGGAAAAACAAAAAACCAAACAACCTGAGTTCATGACACTATCCCTAAGGTTGGGGAGAGGCTATATTTATTTGTAGAGGACAATACCCATTAGTTGGGTTAATAAGAAATATTAATTTTACAAATAGGTAGTTGCAACATGCAGAAGTTAACCTAAAAGGGCTTCAGGTAATGGAACTCAAGGGTAAATAGCCCAATGAGACACAGCTGGGACAAAAGGCTAAAAGCTCCTAGACGAAATTTTATACCAAGACATCAAACATGTTTGACATCTTTGTCGGAGGATGAAAACTAGACTAAAGGACTACGATAGGAGAGAGTGGGAAACCAATAACTGATGGTTTGAAATTTGAATCTGGCAGATAATGGGGAACTTTACAGGGTTTAAAGAGAAGATGAGGGGCCCCTGGCTGGCTCAGTCAATGGAGCATGCAGCTCTTGATCTCAAGATCGTGAGTTCGAGCCCCATGCAGGATATAGACATTAAAAAAAGAGAGAAAATGAAATGAGGGCTCCTGTTACAGAGGATGATTTGCCAGGATCTATTGCTTGGTTATTGGACATTCTGTCCATTTTCCTAAGTTAATATTTTGCCTTGAATTAAATCTTTATTGACCGTAAAAAGTATACTAGAAATATGCAAAAACAGGAAGAGAATTTTTGTCATTGTGACTTAAGATTGACTCCTAAAGTTGTTTCATACTTTAAGTGACTCTGAATCATAATAAAATGAAATGAACCAACCAAATCCAAGCTACATTTTGTGTTATAGTAAATAAATCCTGTGTGCTTCCAGGATTTATTTGTCTAAATTCACTTTGAAAACATGCAGTAAGACTGATGAATTAGGAGGTCTACCATAACTTTTAGTGGACAGTCTAAAACCAAACTTTGGTATGATTCTCAGTCTTGTGACTCTAACTCATTCTGCTAGTGTGAGTTATAAGCAAAAAAGTCCCACTGTTATTGATAGTGTTAGCTTGTACTTCCCTTTTTCCAGGAGGCAAAGTAAGCCAGTGTGATGGGATTATATTAAACTCCATTTCATACTTCCTACATGGATTCAGATCTTTCTAATCAAATCAGGTACCCCTTGGGAACATAACCAGTTACATCCATAGAGTCTGGGGTAACATGGCTAACATAGAGATGTGCAAAATCTCTCACAATTCATCTTCAATATAATTGAACTGAGATCCAGGGACCTGTCAAAGCTTAACTTCCCATAAATATCATTAGAGATACTTGATTGATAACCTGTCTTAAGATCTTTGAGTTTCCAACATGCCATTAATCCATTGTGTCGTTTTAACTCTACTTACTGACATTTATATTTGTATTTTATATTTCTATATAGTGATATATATAAACTAATAACATTAATTGAATTCTCAGTTATAGCCAGTAGAGGGAGGTGTGTGGAAGTATAATAAATTGTACTTACCCTTTCTCACCTGTTATTCCAAAACTGTCTACTGTCTGTTACTAGCCTGAGGCCTGGATAGCTGGATAGAGATTTCCCTAGAAACGAAGTGCTGTGGAGAGTTACAGTTTCCTTAGATGCAATCAATAACAACTGCTAGCTATATAGCAAAGCCCTATTCATAATAGAAAAAATTTAGAGGTATTTTAAAATAGATATTAGTTGAAAATTGATAGTGCTTAATGCACAGCTTAGGAATTCATTTGGATATTCATCGTGGCAGATTTCTACCAGATTAATTCCCTGATTTGTAGAGTGGAACAACTATACTGAATCCTTACTGATATTTACTACAGATCCTCCGATACTTGAAACTTTTGACCACCCTACTGGAAAGTATACCTTTTCAAGCCTGATTACTGGGGAAGAGTGTGAGATTTATATAGTTTCTTTTACCATTTGTCTTCTAAGGAATATTCTTTTTTTTTTTCTTTTTTTTTTTTTTTTTTAGATTTATTTATTTGAGAGAGAGAATGTGTCTGCAAGCATGGGAAGAGAGACTCTCAAGCCTACTTCACACTGAGCATATAGTCTAACAAGGGACTCAGTCTCAACCATCCTCGAGATCATGACCTGAGCCAAAATCAGGTGTTGGGATGCTTAACCGACTGAGCCACCCTGAGGCCCCTAAGGAATATTCTTTATAAGCAAAAGCTATTTATACCCTTTATAGAGTCAAGAAGACCTTAAGGCTATTTATATTATATTTATATTATTAAATATATTTATATTTCTTTTGTTTATTGTTTTGAAAATAAAGTTTTTCTAAATTGAGATTTTTTAGCTACACATAGATATTTATAGCTTTTTTTATGATTTTATTTATTCATTTGAGAGAGAGAGCAAGCACGAGCAGGGAGGGGGCAGAGGGAGAAGGAGAAACTGCTGAGCAGGGAACCTGACACAGAGCTCAACCCCAGGACCCCTGGGATCGTGACCTGAGCCAAAGGCAGACATTTAACCAATTGAGCCACCCGGGCACCCCAATATTTATGGCTTTTGACAGTTCTCATTAGCTATGAGTATAATTTCGTAAATGCCATAAAATAACACCATGTTTTCTTGTGTGAATATGAACATAATGACAGTATACCTTTTGATTTACATTTTTGGTTATAACTGAATTTCTGATGATTACCTTTCTCCCATGGGTTACAATTTGTCAAATGATTGGACTGTGTTGAATAGTGCCTTTGAGGTTATGAAACTGCAAAATTATCTGGTTGTAATCAGAATAAACCTAGAACCCTTGTCTCAGCTTAGAATTCTAGGCAGTTAAGTTACTACAAGATTTCTACTTAATATTCTTTGTTGTAAAGTAGAATTTGGTGTGAATAGGATTCATCATAGCCTTTTTCCAATGAGATTTTCTTATGGAATATAAAAAGAAACAAAAAGGCAAAATCTTTTTGTGTATCCCCCTGGGGCAACAATATTTTGAGGTTTCAGTATAAATTTTTAGTCCTTTCTGCATGAATTTATTGTTAGGAAATCTTGACTGCCCATTTGGATTTAAAATATCATACCATTTTTTGCATGAAATTTGCCTAATTCATGCTTAGATCATTTAGCTTAATGGAGCAGTTCTTTAAATCTGAATAGAGATTTGAGGTAAAAAGCATGAGTCAGCAAATGATTTTAAACAGGAGATTTGCTGACTGAATGATTATTGGTTTTCTTCATGTTTGTTTCTCACTTCAAGGTGTTTCCCTTTCTTCCCCACCCAGTTAATACACTGTTAAACGTGAAGTTAAGTGAAGCAGAGAATGGCAAGCACGTGTCTATATTGGATCTACCTGGCAATGTTCTTATCATCCCTCAAGCCACCCTTGGGGGGAGAGTAAAAGGAAGAAATATGCAGTATCACTCTAACTCTGGAAAAGAAGAAGGCTTAGAACTTTATTCCCAATTTGTGACTCTATGTGAAAAAGAATTAGCTGCCAATAGCAAGTGTGTTGAAGCTGGGGTTGTAGTGGAACATGGTACTTATGGGAACAGGCAAGTGTTAAAGCTGGACACCAATGGACCATACACACACCTAATTGAGTTTTGAAAAATTAAAAGTTAGTTTCTCAG